AAGGGAGGGGTAGATGCCCAACAGATCCGGGGGAGGCGGTCCGTCCAGTTCTCCGGATCGACTGCGGCGCGTAGGGGGGTCTTCAGCTGTCGGTGAAAGTGCTTGACCATCCCGTTGGCAGCCGGGTGATAGGCTGTAGTGCGGATGCGTGCCTAAAAAGACAATGAGAGACTGGAAAAGATTAGGCTCAAATTATACAACGCAGTCAGTCATGCTGGCGAAGTGAGCGCCAAAGATGGCAACCCAACGACCGTCGAAAACCTTGGCTAATGGTGAAGCAACAACATCAGGCATAGTGATAGCTTACGGTCAGGCAGGTTTGGCGATAGAAGCTGGCGTTGTACATAGACAGTGCGTCGAAAATATCCAGGTGCACCCGACTGGATGTTGCGTCGGGATTGGGGAAAGCGCCGTTGTATCTTACTCCGTTGACAGCCGCGACACGCCTATGCCAAAGCTTTCAGGTCCTTGTATATCACATGCCATAAAAGCGGTCGGGAACCAGCTTGTCGGCCGCTCGACTCCCAGAGTGAGAAAGATTGTGCAGGGAGGGGAAGATGTCGCGTCGTTGAGATGGCGGCACAAAGGAGCGACGGGAGGAAGTAAAGATGTCATTGAGAATGGAGCCTGGAACCATCCACGTCACAGGGCGAACCAACACGCAGTTTTTTGGAAGCCACTTCAGTGCAGTTGATCCCGGAAAAGAGTTGCGGATGAACAGTGGAGGGCCTGGGCAGTGTGTCAGCCACCCCATTGAGTGACCCACAGATATGGCGGGTATCTGAGGTGAAGTGAAAAAATATAGTTCAATTGGCAACTTTCCCGGGAGATCAACATATCGGAATTTTATTTTAAGGCGAAGAAAAGTGGCCTGTGTTCAGAGAACACAGTGAAGTCTCTGCCTTCAAGGAAGCGCTGGAAGTGTTTCATGGCGAGGTAGATAGTCAGAAGGTCTCGTTCAAATATGCTGTATTGCGATTCGTTAGGTTTTAACTTTCTGGAGAAGCAAACTAAGAGTTGGATATGACCTGCAAGGAGCTTCTGGAGAATCTTTTTTGTTAACGTAGCTAGACATACTAAAATGGTAGTTTTCTAGTTGTTGTCATCAGCTGATGATGCCCCAATTCCACTCGGCACTTTTGAGTCACGAATCCGAGTCGCCTGATCATCCAGCGTGCACTGTCACTACTGAGCCGTCGGGTTCGCATCATTTCGACTGAGATCAGGAGCGCGTAGTCACGTGAAGTTAGCGTGCAGCTGTCTAGTCCAAGTGCAGAACTTCAGCTTCATCGTCCTTCAGCTCACGTGGACGCCTCCGGGTGATAAACAACCAGCAATAATTTTTATACCCCAACCAAACCAGATAGGTTTATGTAGTGAATAGTCACAGGGGGTTACTCTGGCCACTGTGATACGAACAAAAACCTAAGTGCAAAACTGTTGAAACGGCATTAGTGCACCCAATAACGTATTGTCAGGTGCCCACAGTCCTTCTAGAGGCTATAATTGTTAAATGTACATTTTAAGAGACCAACAATTTAGTGGTTCAATACAGGGCCCTCAATAAAAATGCAGCCACTGCAGACCACAAGTAGAGAAGGTGCCGACTTCCGCAAAACAGTCTATGAAGAATATGTCAGGATCGATTCCCCTCATTTACCTTAGTCCAAAACTGAATCCGGAACACCATCCAGTAGTCGGAAATACCAGCTCATATGCACGTGTCGCGCCCTCCTCCTTGTGACAGTAATGCCTTCTGTGGATTTAAAAATGATGATCCCTTCCTGTACTTGACCTACGTACATCCTTCAAACCCTACTGTAATTTCTCGTTCCCTTCCTCGGTCCTACTAAGCTCAACGTACCGTCCTCGTCACGCTGGCGGCGTGATATCGATGAGTTACAACCATAAGATATGTTTCAGCTACGTCAAAATTTCATATTTTCATCACCTATGTACGTTTATTGGCCCGAAGATGCATTAATTAAAAATATATGCTTGCCGAATTTTTTGCAGATAAATTGGGAAGCAGAAGCCACGTCGATCACCGGAATCATAGTTTTTATTAGGCTGAGCTTTCGAACTCTTGCGAGAGTCGTTCATCAGAGATAAAATCGTCAACGAAAACAAGCAACATTTATAGGGGGAGGGGCCAATTAACCGTCATAGGGATGGGGGGGGGAAGGAGAGGACCAGTTAACCACCAGTACCGTGAGTCTGGAGATACATGCGCAGGGCAAAACATGGGGCGCCAGCTCGATGCGTCGGTTAACTGAGTTGTCATCCGATGCCAGGCTTCACTCAGTTCTCGGCCCGTCTTGCTGTCAGCGTGGGCAATTATCCTCGCAGCTGCGAAGTTGAACTCGCGACCCGTCTCGTAGGTGTGGGCCGTTACTTTCGATAATGCGCCACCCCGTCGAAAAGCCAGCTTATGCGCGTGCATGCGCGAGCCCAGCATGTGTCCAGTCTGTCTCGTTTAATTTATGGGGCAGTTTAGACATGGTATGCGGTACACTACGTCCGACTGCTCCCTGGGATTTAATCGATCCTTGATTCTCATGACCCGGCTGCCGGAATGCGAACCTTTGCCTAATTTTTTTGCAAATGTAACATTGTGAATATTCCTAGGACTTATTCAGTACGGTGAAGCCTCGAGTGACGGACAGCCCCACCTACGGGCATTTCACGTAACGAGCGAATCACTAGCAGAACATTTGTTTTGCCTGACGAGTCGTCAGTGCGTATGTCCGCCGTTGAGTCCTGCGTCCAGAACGTGAGTCCTTGGCCGTCTGCAGCCAATCAGTGAACGGATCCAATTTGATTGGTTACGTTTCACAAGACAAACGTATCAGATGAAGAGCTCGGTTCTCGAACGGATTTAACTCATTAACTGAGGACCCACTATACTTCCCAAATTATTTTCCGAGAAGTTCTTACGTCTTCTCAACGTGCGACTGGGCCCCTTAGTGCACGCAGGACTCCAGGGTGCAATTCCACTATTGCCGGAAAAGAAAGCAAACGTTTAAGTAAATTCGAATTAGAAAGAAGGTATAGCCTCCCAAGTTTCCAGGCTGTATTTCAGTGAAGATACTACGAGAAAGCCAATTTCATGTTCCTCCGTAGCCTATGTATTGTAAGCTTTCTCATATATTTCGATGTCAGTTACAAAAAAGAATGCTAATACTACAAATGGAACACAGTGTATGTGTAATAAGTTGACTCACCGGTCTATCTAAACAGTTGGGAGACAATGTCAACAGAAACTTAAAAATTGACAGTACTTCCTTAGCGCTACTTTACCTGCTGCCTATCATTTAAATTTTGACCAATCTGGTAGTTATTAAAGTCCTCTTCTTTTCGCTAGGAAAATGTAGCTATAATTTCATCCAACTAGTTCTAAACCAATCCACTTCTAAGAATGGGTAGTGCAAGCAACTCCTTCCCTCGTACTTGGGGAAACGACAAGTCGGATTCGCACGTGATTTTTCAGGTGCTCTGGATGAAGAGGATTTGAAAACTGCAAAGGCAACGAGGTTTGCAGTATTTAATGACGTCATAGAAGTTTGTGACCTCTTATTCAAATGTATACGGTCGTTGCCTAATAAGAAGATAAAATAAGAGGTCCAATAAAGTATCGACCTTGAAGGCTGGAACATGATAGGTAAACAGAGCATGAGCTGTTGGTCGTGGCTGCAAGTGCGGATAGGAAAGGGGTAGAAGAGGGGGAGGCAGTGATCGAAGCAAGGCAGTTCGGTTTACAGTGAAAGTCTGTCAAGAGTGATTAAGGGGGGCGGGGGCAGGTGGCAGGGCAACAGTCAGTCATACGAGAGAGGTTGTGTGAGAGGACGAGAGAGGGAATGGGTTTATGTCCTTTATCGATGCGAAAGTAATCAATCAATCAATCCAGCTGCTTACAGAGGAGGCAGCTAGTATTACCAGCAAAGACAAGGGAGACTGAAATGATAATTTCTGGTTTATTAGCCGTCGTAAGCCAGTCATACCCAGACCCCAATGGCGTCCCAGCCGGGCCTCGAACTCGGGCAGAGGGGGACAGATGAGTTCCATTAGCGGTCCGCTGCGCGTTCATCAATGAGTGTCAATATTCATCGACCTTACCGAACAAGACAACGAGCTCGTGGCTCAATGGTTAAGGCGTTTGATTCTGATTAAAGAGGTCACAAGTTCGAGGCTTGGATGGGACTGACTGACGACGGCCATTCCAGTCTCCCTAGTCTTTGCCGGCAATATTATCTGCTAAGACTGCCAGCTGTGACGGCTGTCAGGGCCTCTGTCGAGACCCCAGGCAGTGCGGGACAGATGAGTTCCGTAAGTGGTTTGCTGAACGTTCATTAATGAGTGCCTATAGAGTTCTGGTTACCTCCTCCCCTTTGCAGTGGCCTCCGCAAATCGCATGAAAACCAAGTCGTCTTACGATCTTAAATTAAGTCCTGGGGTCGACCATAAAGCAGTCGAATAAGAAGTTATCGCATTGTGTTGAGATAAAAGATAAAATACTAGTCAGTGTGATCTTCAAACCCGGTTCCTTGTGGGAAGAGAAGAAATGAGATGTTAGGCGGAAGGAATAGTTTGTTCTATACAAAAGAGGACGAGAATAGTTTGGAGAAAGTTGGCACTGGAACAGGCGTGCGTCTGGCCACGAGAGTCGGCATCTGAAATGTGAAAGCGTGGGAATCCGCAAGCGTCCGGAACACGGTCTTTATGTGAGTCAGTCTTGAGGGTGATTGGCCAGAAGTGAGCAGGCGGTCATTAGTGCATGCGCCCCAGAGACACGCCTAGAACTGCATTCCCGTGACCTCGTGCATGGCATGGCATGGTGAAAAGCGATGCAGGGTCACTACAAGGTCACGAAATTGTATGACGTCATTAAACTCCTTAAACTTCATCACCCCTGCGTTGTTCAAATTTTTTTCCGCAAAAAATGTTTCAGTTTTGGAATTAAGTGTTTTTTAACATGGTTAAATATGCCTACGGCTGTGAAAAGTAATAAACAGCCTCGAAAATGTTGGAGCCATCTTTAAGTCAGTTACATGAGGGGAAGCCACCGAAAGAAACTGAATTGAACTTTTGGATAATAACTTCGTGCAATTTAAATTAAAATTACAAACTTATAACAGATTCCTGCTACTAAAACAGTATTTATTTTAAGCTACCAAAGTAATCTTTGTGTTGCTTCCATTACCAGTTGCACTGTAAATGTCTGCAAGACAGTATAATCTTAAAAATTAGAAATATTTCAGCAGTTGGTTCATTGGATTATTTGCAAAATTGCTCAATTGCATGACGCTTCGGAGTATCCTCTTCACTTAGCTTAATTCAAATAGACTGAAGATATTCTAAAAAAGCGTTTCTATTGTGCTTGCAAAGATTTATAATCTTTCCTGTTAATCTTCCTTGAAAGTCTTGTAAATTTAGTCAGTGGGCAAGCTAGCACGTTTGCCTAATAGGGAAAAATTAAGGAGGCCTGTTTACTGCGGATAATGAGGTCCGTAACTGGAAGCTAGGTACGGGCGAAGGAGGGTACGGTGTGGCTAATTCCGTCAAAATGAATTCCACATGCTCATCACAACCATTTACTAGATCTCGTTACTGCTTTTGGCACTACAGCTAAACAGATTGATGGTTACCTTGCTAAAAGCACCGCCTGAACCCCTAAAATACAGAGCATATGCATACACCGACCAGTTTTGAGACAAACTCATCCGCTCCTGGTGCCTTTGAGGCTCACTCTCGAGTCACACCGCAATGCGGCTAGTGACATAGACAGAAGGACATTACCCTTAAATACAAGGGAACCTAAGATGGCTATTTCTGGCTTATTAGCCGTTGTCAGCCACTCATTCCCAAACCAAAGTGGTGCCCCGGAAATTGGCGCTCTACCAGAGCTTCGAACACGTGACTTGTCAGTTAGAAGTCCAACAATCTAACTACTGCATCAGGGACTCGTTGTCTTGACTAGCTGAAAACGCCTAATAAGCCAGCAATGGCCATGTTTGTCTCCCTATGGGAATCTGACTCACTGACTCACGCTGACTTTGTTGCCAAAACCGCGCAGGTTCAGTGTCCACGCGCGCCGGCTAAACTCCTACGCACCGTGTCCGCCAACCGCTACGAGAGGCTCCGCGATGTCCTACTTGTTCTACGCTCCCCCCGTTTGTTGCGGCTCCATGCACAAGTTAGCTCCAGCCAATAGATGCGCACGTGTCCACCTGGCTGGGTGCACGGCCTAGCAGTCTCGGCTCCACAACATCGAACACACAATTCTGCGTACTGACTTGGCGTGCGTAACGCAGCCTTTTAACTGTCTATTTTCCAGCAGTAAACTTCTGTCCACCAACACCGTCTTGCTTGACCTGTGATATAGGAGAACCTTCTGTTTGTCGACATCACAAGTTGCGACATCCCTAAGTTTTTGTCGGTTATCTCTTTCTGCCTATATCATTAGCCGCCTTGCGGCGTGGCTCGAAAGAGAGAGCCCCTGAGGCATCAGTGGCAGAGGAGTGTGTCATGTAACTGATTTGTGTGCGCCTATCTACTACTACACATTCTTGACCAAAAACCGGCAAGAAAACAAGACCGTGGCGCAGTGGTTTGAGGGTTGGACCTCTAAAAAACTTGGTCGCGGGTTCGAAGCTCGGGTGGTGGGTCAATCTATAGGACTTAAGGCTAAGACGGTTAACCCTAACAGCTTCAATCTTCCAGGCCCGGTTCCTTAGGAGATGGAAGAAGTCTTGGGAAGGCCGAATTGTTAAGAATAGTGTATTCTGCATAAGGATAGGTGAATTGATGGAAAGAGTGTTGACTCGCGGACTAGTGCGTCCGTTCCCTATTCGGGTCGGTTCCGGAGTGAGGCTTGAAGGCAGACACTGCATTGTTGTCTTTGTTCCGCGGATTGAGGCCAACCTACTAAATGAGGTCACTCTACTAAAGTGGGAATCTCATTGGACAGATTGGGGTCAAACCACTTTTGGTTGAGGCCAGAATGGAGCAGACTTGGTGCGTTTGTTTGGGTTTGCGTCGCAGCAGTGGCGAACGCCCGTCCGTTTGGGCATGCCTAGAGGCACGGACGAAAACTGCTTGCGCGCGAGGTCCTAAGCTCTGAGTGACCTCGTCTGTTGCGTCAAGAGTTGGGAGGGCGACAGACAGACAGCACCACTACAAATCTACAGGGCACCATTTGGGTCTAGGTATGACTGGCTGACAACGGCTAATAAGCCAGAAATGGTCATTCCAATCTC